GATTAGAAATTAAGTGTTAACGAGCAGTTGGACAGGTGTACCTAATAAAGTGGCCGGTGAGTGTATATTATTTTATTGGTTACCTGTTCACTGTATGTCAACACTGACAACCTTTCTGCATTTATCTGGGTTTACACTTAAATGGTTTGTAAAAACAACATACACTGTGCTTTATTTTCTCAGTTTTATGAGACATTGCAGAGGTGTCTGCTGGTTGCCAAGTGTGCCAAGCAGTTAGAAACCAGCAGCTCCACAAACCAGGACCAGCTTCCTGTCCTGGCCCTGACACCCCAACACGTGATGGAGCTGATGCCTGCAAAAACGGTAAATCAAAGTAACATTTTGTTTTCATGTTTTACTTCTTTCCCATTTTGTACACAATAAATGACTTTAATGAAACTAAATTGAAAAAGTAAAAAAGAGCAGAACAAATACAAAAAAAAGGAGTAAAACAAAAATTAAAAGGACCAGAAAGCCAAAAAGCTAGCTAAAAGCTAAAATTAGCAAATAGTTAACCCAAATAAGGACAGATTTGCTTTTATATTGAAAACTAGCTTAGAAGCATTGTTCTAAAAAATAATCTACCAAACTCACACACAGCTTTGTTTTTATATCCCCCTGGGGACCGTGGATTGACTCCCATTAATTTATTGGAAATTTTATAGCCTAACCCCGACCACTTACCCTAAAATTAACCTCACACCCTAAAACTAACCTAAACTCAATTCACACCATGGTCCTAAACTTAACTCCCAACCCAAAATTAGCATCCGTACATGCACATTCAGCACAGCTTCATATTTATTTTCTCTCAGAGCCTGTAGGATGTTAAAAACCAATAACTAAAATTAAAAACCCAAACATTTTGATGCTAGAAATGGGTAAGTTCAAATCAGTTGCTCTAAGTCTGAGGCCATGGTTCTTGACTGGAAAAGTGGAGAATGTGGAATGTTTGAGTATTTGGGTGTTTTGTCCATGAGTGATGGTAAGATGGAATGCGAGATGAAAAAAGCACAGTAATTTCTAGAAAGTAATAAATCAATAATATTTTATATCTGTTATAGAATAGCAGGTAAATTGACTCTTGTTTAAATCTTATTGAAATCATAACTGTGTAGTTTAGAATAAGGAAACAGAAGAATTTAATATACAAGTAAGTTTTAGACAAGGATGGGATTAAATAAGTTTGTACTTCTTCCCAGTCCTGTTCAAATATGTTTCATTTTGTGCATTGGTACCTGTTCTTTTGTTTTACACGTTTGAAATAAACTCAGACTATCACTACTACACCATGTGGAGTCGACACAGTTCAAGACGGTCACTGCTTCTCAACATTAGCCCAGATAAAAAGCCTGTAACTCAGACAGTTTTATAATTATTGACTTAGAAGTTGATGTGGTCTTTGCTGAGAGCCATTGGGTGCCAACTGGTTAACATCATTAACGTTTAACCAAAATGACTAAAACTTTGGTGTTTTGGCATAAAAGGCAATGTGTTATATGCATTCTTTCAAAGAAAGCTAGGCCTTTGGGGAGTTGTGATTTAACCACACATGTCTCTGTTTTCTTGTGTTTTTGTTATTCATGTTAGTTTACATTTCTGATTGCATTCTACACATTTTATTGTATAGTAAAGCAGTTGGATTGTCCTGTGAAAGGTGCTATAGACTGTAAAAAAATGATGTATGTCTTCATCAGAATGTACAGAGTATGAAGCAAGCTCTGCTCAAAACGCTGGAGGTGCATCTGAAGGAAAAATGTCTGAGCCTTCTTTCTTACTGTCAGCCTGAATGCGGTATGTTTGATAAAAGCGTCTGCTGTTACCTGGCAAATTGACTTTTAGTGTATTAGTTCCACGTTGACCGCACTGAGCTGAATGTTTTGTCTCATAGAGAACGAGAGTGAGAGTCTGAAGACCAACAAGCTGCTTCATCTTTCAGCACTGCTGGATAAAGAAAAAACAGAAACAGAGACTCTGAAGGAGACGTATCGAAAGAACACAGTCCTTCTGCAAAGGCAGATCCAGCTGTACCTCTCTGTAAGCACTGGTCTGAATATTTATCATTTTTCTATACCACAATCAAGTAACTGTTACATTCAGTTGTTATGAAAACTCTGTACGTTGAAAATAATGTGACTTTGCATCATAGCTTATCTAAACGCCTTGAAATTGGCCTCTGTCTCTTTAAGAACCTCTTACCGTTTCTGACACTCCCACTTCAGCACGTCTTCACGACAATGCTTTGTGGGAGGGGTGCTTTGTGGGACAGGAGCTCGGCTGCAGACTGAGCTCCAGGGAGGAGCTTTGTGTGAAAAGGCGGAGCTTTGTACCAGCGAGTGTTTAGGCAGCTCCACTTGTGCATGAATGAGTCAAAGAAACACTCTACTTACTTTATACTTTATTTGTCCCCATGGGGAGATTGATTTGTGGTAAAATATATGTACAGGTGTATCTCAGGCATTGCCTTACATGATCGTTCATCTACAACACAAATTAAATCGCAAGTTAATTCTGCATAATACACCCCCTTTAAAATAATACCTCCTTAATGAATTATCTTCCAATGAAAATATGTCTGTCCTACTGTAAAGGCCTGAAAGTAGAGAATAGATGAATGGGGTATTTGACTTTTTTTGTAGACTTACTTGTGTGCTGATGGTGGATTTCCTGCTACATGACCTGTTTACTTTGCTCACACGGCTCCTTTCTTTATTTGAATATTTTTTTCCTGCTCTTTGTTTTTTCTCATCAGGAGCTGATTAAGTGCATTCAGCTTCTCCAGTCTCTCATCTTGGACCACCGGCTGACCATCCAAACAGATCTGGACAGGAAGAAATTAGATTACTTTGAAGGCAAATGTGAATTAGTCTTGCAGAAGATAAAGTAAGGCGTGTTCAGTGCTATTACTGTGAATATGTTAGCGACTGTGTTCATTTTTTTCAGAAATGTATGAGAATAAATGTATGGCAAAGTGTGAATATTATGTCCACTGTYAGTTTCTGTGAAGTGAGCACCTGGCAGTAGGTGGGATTTCAGGCAGAAAGTAAAAGTTCTGTCCTTGAACCGTTTGTTCGAAGCTGAAAAAAAGCTACTAAAAACSCCTGATAAATTTCACCGTAGGGTTTTAGACAGTAATCATTTTATGTTGAACGTTTTGGACATTCATACAAGATCTGTTRGCGCTCAGAGTATAGGTTATGATTTTCAGCTAGCTGCTACCACACCAAGCTTATCTCATTATCTTAGACATTAACTGAGTTTGTGTTTTACTAAGCTCTGTTGGCTTTAGAGGCCATCTTGAATAGTCAKGTTGGCTTCAAAAGGTAATCTGTTGTTTAGCTGTAGATGTACTTAATATTGTTAATTGTAAGAGTTTCAATTTAAATCATTCAGCGGTTCATGAGATATTTTGCTAAYGGACAAATATGCACAAACAGGCTAAATCATTATTGCTGCTTTTGACAGGAAGTGATATTGGATCAAGAATGATGAAAAGAAAAATAGTTGTTGAAAATACCAAGATATAAAATTTGGGTCAYACCGTCCAGCACTAACTTGGACTTTGTGCCTCGGTATCTCGGGGTGCTGTTTGGGTGGTTGTAATGTTATTGCTAATTGCTGTGAATGACATGAATGACTCTGTGTTCCTTTTTTCAAAGAAGTGAGATGGTGAAACTTCAGCTGGACACCTACACGGCTGACACAATTTCTGCTCACAGAAAAATAAGGCAAGGTTCACTGATGCTGTGTTTACCTGGCAGATTATTTCAGAACCTGCACCTCACATGATGCGTTCCTCTGTGTCGCAGGGAGAAGTTGGAGTTGGAGCTGAAGGCCAGTAAAGAAGAGAAGCAGGCTGTCGAGATGAAGCTGTCGTCCTTTAAGATTCTGGGCAGGGAGTTTGAGGTTTTGGCTGACAAGTACTTTAAGTTACGGCAAGAGATTGACATGAAGAAGTGGGCTCTGAAGGAACTGAGCCACTACAATGAGAAGTAAAGGTATTGTTTGATGCTGATCTGGCAGCATCATGTTGCTCATGGGATGATTAATATTTGTAACTCTGCCGTGTTACGGAAGTTTGACTGTTTTTTTTACGTAAATTTGCTAATAAATTTAATTTTCCTAAAGTAATCAGGCCTGTTTGATCTATTAAATATCTGTTTTAACCATCTACCCAGTTGAATTTCAGAGGGTTTTGTTATTAAAGGGGTTTACACCCTTATTCAGGGATTTTGTTGTTGTGAATGTGGCCGTGATCATTTTCACCAGAGGAATTCTTTTTGGTGCCACAGCAAAGTTCAGTCCTCTGGTAAGGCTTTCAGTCTCTGGCTGGGTGTCTTTCAGATATATTCTTTGTCTTCTCTGTCTCCCTGCCTGGCATGTTCTAGTGTTCCAGTGTGTTGCCCAACATTCTTCCAGTTGTTGGAATTGACGGGTTACCAGAACAACAACCCCAGAATCTGAAGCAGAACAAATTGTAAAATGTAGGGGTGCAACGATCCAGAAAATTCACGATTCGGTTTGGTTCGATGCTTTAGTCTCACAGTTTGATATTTTTCTGATACAAAAAAGAGAAATTTTCATGCCCTTTTTAACTTGTAATTTGTTTAATTTAATTATGAACATTTGTTCAACCTCAAAAGTACAGTTTTTAAATGAAATGTTGCTGAAACAGCAAGTTTCTCAGTGGATCTGCATTCGAAAATGCAGCCTAGGTGGAGTAGTCGAACACAGATCCACTGATCCTTCAACAGAGCATCTTCAGAAGACAAGTTGATAAAATAAATTTTAAAAATCTGTATTGTTCGATATTGAACCTAAAGCTCTGTATTGATTGGTTCAAATTGGGTACATGTATTGTTGCACRCAAAATGGTAAATGAACAACTTAGGAACAAAGTTCCAGCCTGCTTCAGCAATGCCAAACCACCACCTTCTAACAACAAAGAGAGGGATGCCCCCAACAACCTCAGCAAGGAGAAGAACGTCCTCCCAGCAGACAAAGGAAGGTGCACATTTATTTTTGGCCAGAAAGCTCACCATCCTTAGTGACTTGACCACATACGAGCTGCTAAAAATATCCAGGAAGAGGTTACTAAAAGTAGAGTGCCACCATGGTGGGGCGGCTGTGGCAGAGTGGTTAGGGGAGTCCTGTAACCGAAGGGTTACCAGTTCTWTCTCCTGCTCCAGCCATCTCAGTCATTGGGCCTCATGTAAGAACCGTTCGTATGAACAGAATTGTCCTTAAGCTGTGCGTACGAGTGATTTAGGAGAACCTATCGCATTCACATATTTTCTTGTAAGATTATATTTTAGATACAAAGTATGGTGCAGACCTGTCTAATTTTACAAGAGGTCAGTCTGCTGTTATCCAGACTGATTTTCTTCACTAATAACTATATTTCATTAGTTTGAAGATATTTTGAAAATAAATCACACTCCATAATTATGTTGACAAAAGCTTATTCTGTTTGAATTAGAATTTTAAATGTAATATAGACTAGTAGTATAATTTAAATGGGCTATTAATGCTGTTGTATACACAACAATGTTACAATATTAATATGAACATCTCAAACTACAAACCACCTTAAATGCTGCATTAATTGAAGTTTAATTTGTCTCTGTATATAATGAGGTCAATAGGAACATAATCAACAGATATTTAGACAGTTATTTTTTAAATTAAATTTTATTTTTTATTCAAAGTCTTCTCCAGCACATCCTAAAGATTCTCAATAGACTCTGTGGAGCCAATCCAGGTGTGAAAATTATGTCTCATGCTCCCTGAACCACTCTTTCACAATTCCAGCTCCATGAATCCTGGCATTGTCATCTTAGAATATGGYCGTGCCATCAGGGAAGAAACAATCCAATTATGGAATAACCTGGTCATTCAGTATATTCAGGTAGTCAGCTGACCTCATTCTTTGAACTCATACTGTTGCTGAACCTAGACCTGACCACCTGCAGCAACCCCACATCATAGCACTGCCACCACAGGATTGTAGAGTAGACACTATGCATGATGGGTGCATCACTTCACCTGCCTCTCAAGGGTCAATCTGGACTCATCAGACCACATGAGCTTCTTCCMTTTATCCAATCTTTATGCTCCCTATAATTTAAGCCTTTTATCCCAGTTAGCCTCACTGATTTGTGGTTTTCTTAAGGCTACACAGCTCTTTAGTCCCAATCCCTGGAGTTCCCTTCACATTGTACATGTGGAAATTCTCTTACTTTAAATATTAAACATAGCCTGGAGTTCTACTCTTGTTTCTCTTTGATTTGATTTCACCAAGTGTTTACGTTAAGGCCATTAAAGATTTTTTTTCACGGCCACATTTCTTCCTCGAGGACGATGGGTCCCCTCTATTCCTCCAGTTTTTAATAATGCGTTGGACAGTTCTTAACCCAATTTTAGTAGTTTCTGTAATCTCCTTAGATTTTTTCTCTGCTTGATGCCAATGTGTGATGCCACACATTGACAACGACCCTTCTCAAACAGACTGACATCTTTTCCATGCCCACAGGGTGTGTCTTTCCACATGAGAAGCAGCTCATTGCACCAGTTGGGGTTATATAACTTAATGACCCATGCAGTAATTATCCAATAGGAGGCTCGTACCTATTTGCTTAGTTAAATCCAGGTGGCCACTTTTTTTTGTCCAGGAAGTGTATACAGCCACCTCTTTTAGGTTTAGATTAAGAGTTTGCACATTTTCTTTCAGCTGTTCTGATGTGGATTTTTAGAATAGTTGTCCCTTCTCATGACTGCAAAGATCCCAAACCACCTTCACCTTGTGTATCTCCAAACCAACGACATGTATTATAATTGAACAAACGTCCCCTCCTTCTGTTGTTGTTGGGAAAGAAGCCTGCAAGCTCTACATGTCATTGCACCAGACAAAATGGCACTGTGCATTTTGGGGTAAACATCTCTACTTTAGTCCCACCTGTCCAAAGGACACCAATTGCAACCATTCCTAGTTAGCCATCCTTTTTATTATTTTTTCCTAATTGTCTTGACCTTCAGTGACCTTTAACCTTTACCCTGCTAACCGAGGTCTGTACAATCTGAAATGGAGCTCTGTGATTGTTTTTGTAATCTTGATAAACACTGCATTTATGAAGTTCATATCGTTAGGAAATGATCAGATTTATGGACAGTTAAAAAGGTCCTGGTCTAAAAGTCATTATGACCTAAAATATGTAACTTGTGCTTTAAAGAAGTGTTTAATTTTCTTGATAAAAAGGCAGCAAGCTCTACTTCTGGTAACAGTGGATGATGAAAGCTCTTTGCTGCCTTTTTTTCTGTATTTTGCAGCACCATCCACAAGAGAGCAGTGTGCCATCAACTTTGAGAGGCCAGCCTTTGTCATAACTCAAACCAGGTTCCTAAAATTTTTAGCTTTTGAGTCTGAAAATAAGAATAGCYGGAATTTGTTGTGACCCCCAAAATTCTTTGGTTGAACTACACAAATATTTCAAATATTGCGAATAAAGTAATTATGACAGAAATAAAGATTAAACCCGTGACTTTTTTTCCATTCATAGTTAGTTTTCTTTTATATTTTTATGGGTTAAGGGCAAATTTTTAAGAAATATCTTGCACAATGAGTTAGCCCATGTTTTGCAAATGACTCACAACTACGCACTAAATTTTAGAGTGATTTTTGTAAAACTGACAGAGCTATTTTTGTATTCTCTAATTGTCATTTGCTGTGGCCATTTGAGTTAGTTATAATGATCATTTCCTGAAAGTATCATTGTATTTAATAGTTTGTGAGATATTTTGCTAACAGACATAGCCTACAAAGCTGATTCTGACAAAATTTAAKGACAAAAATTGAAAAACATTTTAAGTTCAGTCAGCGCTCCAGAGTTAAAGCCATGCTTGTGTTCTAAAAAGCTACCTTGAAWGGGTCTGTCGCCACATATTAATCAGTGATAAATGTCCATACAATTAATATTTTCTGAAAGTTTCATAAAACTATAATTTGAGCAAAATTTCTGCTTACAACTCAGTGTTTAACCAGCCCATTAAATACACAAGAAGTTGATGCTCTTCGTTCATTGACGATCTTCGTTTGACCTCTTTCCTCCGCCACGTTTGGGGGGCAAGCGGAAGTGAGTGGGAGTGAGACATCTCGCTGTTGTTATGGTCTCTCCGTCTCTCGTCTCCACATCACCACCTCCACCATCATCACCCTCCATCAGCTGCAGCCCCGCCTCAGCCCGCATCTGTCGGTCTGTCTGTCAGATCCGCGCCGCTGCTCCGTCCGCCCGTGGACGTGTGTGGACGCAGCATCCACAGCCAGCGGCTCCAAGTTCAACCGGTAGATTTTTATCTGGAGGAGCACCACCCTCCTCCTCCTCCTCATCATCATCATCATTATGTCCGAGGTGCGGAAATTCACCAAGAGGCTCAGCAAGCCCGGGACGGCGGCGGAGGTCCGGCAGAGCGTGTCGGAAGCTGTGAGGAGCACCGTGGAGCTCGTGGTGAGTCCGAGCCGCTTTAACTAAGGGGGGAGAGGGGCACCAACGCTACATAAGAGAACAAAACATCGCCAAAACCTCCTGGTTAGTCTTTTTATCTGGTTTTCAGTCTCCCCTTCCTCATTGTGACCGTCCCYGCTGCTGCGGCTGTGACCCCTCACGGTGAGGGGATAAAGACATAACTCAGCTCGCACGTGCTTTTCCCGCCTTTCTGTAAATTAGCTGCCTGTCCAACAACTTAACTCCATCCCCAGACACACCATAACTCTTTCCCCCCCCCTAGTTTTGTGGGGAGCCTTTTGTTGGACAGCTGCAGCAGCATGGCTTCCTCTGCTATAGCTTTTTCTTCTTTTAATAATTATTATTTTGGATTTCCACATGGAGCTCAGAAAAAAACAGTCATCTTAAACCAGCAGTGATGGTTTTTGAATTTAAAGTCAGGGTGGTAGTTTTGCAGGTTTAAGCCATGATTGTGGGAAGCAGAAGAGCAGAGCTGAACTGGCCCCAATCATTAGGAGGGATTAGACGCAGTGGCTTCAGATGAATAGCATTTAGGATCCTGCTGATCCAGCATTTCTCTTTTTGTGTGTGTGTGTGTGTGTGTGTGTGTGTGTGTGTGTGTGTGTGTGTGTGTGTATATGTCAGTAATTTAGAAGTTTGACACTTGTTTCCTAATGCCTTGCTGCTCAAATATCCTGTTCTCATCAGTGACTGACAGTCTGCAGCTTTCAAAGATTAATTCAGATTAATCCTCATTCTTTTGAGGAATTAGGTTTTAGTCTCATGACGATCATCTCCAGGAGCGTGACAGTGAATCTCCTAGTGGAAATAACCTTGTGACGAGGTTGTGTTTTGCAGCAACAGTGTTTGGAATTGTGTGTGTTTGCGTGGTTTGTAGCCATGTGGGATGATTGTGTACTCYCTGCTCTGCAGAAGCAGTGTCAGGCTTCTTGTTTTACGGCTGGCTTGCTGTTGTGGGGAAACAAATGGATGTTTTGTTGCTCTTGTCTCACGTAGGGGTTCCCCTCAGGCATGATGTGGCCGAGTCTCCTCTCTGCAGCTTCCTCACTTCTTCATCTCTGAAAGTCCGTCATAAGGAGAGAAAGTTTGGCTTCCACGCTTGAGCTGTTTCATCATCAGTTTCCTGTTTTTTTTAACCTTTTCACAGTCCTTTTAGAACAGAGGTGCCCAAAGTGGGGCCCGTGGGCCAAATTTGGCCTGCCAAGCCATTTGATGTGGCCCACTACCAGTTATCCTGGTTACTAGATTGTAATCTCCTGTTTTATGTAGAAATACTATTTGCACTTAGTCTTTTCAAACATTGGTCCACCTATAGGTACAAGGAGCTCTAGTCAGATAAACTTAACTCATGGTGCTCACTTTTTCTTTGAACTATAATAAGATTAAACTTATAATACAAGTAACTTCAAGAGACATTTATATTAGATTTAAGTTCATTTCTAGATTTGCACACCTTATAAGACCCCATATACTCAAATTTTAAATTATGAACCTTTGCTGCCCGAGCAAACGTTGAATTTTCTCCATGTCCATGGGCTAGACAAAAAAATGTGGGCAACTGCACTGGCTGCAGCTTAATCATAAAAATACAACTTTCCTTGAAATATTTGCATTTCGTGTATTATATTACTGCATTTGGCCCACCCCCCTCAGATTGATTTTAATTTTGGCCCTTTCAGAGAAAATGTTTGGGCACCCCTGTTTGAGAATTTACAAGGGTGGAACTTTAAAGTCAATTTAAACTTGATAAATTCACTGGCCTGACAACAATATTTTATTTATTTATTTATTTGTTTGTTTCAAGGATAACCCCTCGACATGTAAAATCTCATACTCAAAGGGTCCTTACASTACATAAAATAAACAACAAAATTATCAGTCATAATGTCCTGATGYATCCCAGTAATCCAGGTAGTAAAATCAAATACAAACAATTGGACTTCAAACAGCTTCAGTTTCAGACCCAGTTTGTCAGAGACAAGTCTCTTGGAGAGACAAAACGTTTCATTAAAGAAGAGCCCGTCCAGAGGACCTACTTAACTGTTCTCTTTTTTTGATTGTGAGTCATAATAATTAATCCAAAATTGCAGTTAGAACAGACTGTGGAAGATCGTTAATAGGGAGTTTTTCTTCTCCACTGTTTGCTCAGGATGGGAGACTGTGATGAAGTGATTCAACACAATCTGCTGGCTTCTTCTTTAGATTGTTCTTTTTTCATGTACAGTGCCTCGAGACAACGTATGTTGTGACTTGGTGCTATATAAATAAATTGAACTAAACTGAATTGAATTGAATTAATGAAAGTAGAGAATATAAAAGGATCTAGGGATGAACCTTGCGGTACCCCTTAAAGATATTCAACTGACGCCATCTTCATTGATTGCAAATATTTGGGCTCATTTTGGTTTTTACTGAATAAGTTTGAGTTTGACATGAGCTTCACTGTGTGCAAGGTYTGCAAAATGAAGATGAAGCACTTTGGGAACATGACAAATGGGTTCAATTTATCAGTTTTTAGAATCGTGACCCCAAAAATCAGAATTGAATCCTGAGATAGTAAAAGATTYCCACCCCTACTCCTTATCCTCTCTATCTGCAGTCAAAACGTCTTTTTGTCTTTTTCCTGACAGCTGCATTTCTACCATACTGTCATACCCACTGTCCTCCTCTTGACATGTTCAAACCGTCTCAGGCGAGCCTCTCTTACTTTATCTCCAAGTTGTTGAAGCTGTGCTGCACCTTTTGATAATTTCATTCCTAATC